CAGAGTTTTTTTAATTTGCAGCTCCGACGGCTACCTTAGAGCCGGAGTTGTGTCCCTTGTCCGTGTTTTTTCGTTTCCAGTCCTTCTTGTTGAATCCCATCGCGTTTTGCTTGTCTTTGCCGCCGACGATAGATTCTCTTCATCCGTTTCGACGGCGAAATCTGGCGATTCCTTCGATGGTGAGAATAGATCAGGTAAGGTAATGAAGCTGCGGTGTTATAGTATCGGTTTCTACTCCTTCTCGCTGCAGATCGGGTATTTTAACCAGGTTATGGCTTAGGTTTTGTGGGTTTATTCTTGAAGATTGGCTCGATCCTTTCATCCTCAGTTGGTGGCTCCTTTTGTGTGCTCTCTTCTCTGTTTTCGTCTCAGATCTGGCCGCTTCCTATTCGGCAGAGGCGGCTTAAAAACTGGTTCTCTCTCCGCCTCGGATTTGGAGGTCTTCACCACCGCTGGTTATTCCCTCCTTGTAATCTTATAAATGAACGAGGTTTCGTCTTAGGGTTTTGTTTGTCTGTGCCGCCTCGGTTGGCTCCGCTACGTCGGAGCTGTATATGAGGAGGGGCTTCAATCTCTATCCGCTTGGGTAATTCTTCTAGTCCCGGATTTGTGTTAATCTTAAAAAGATTTCGTTTCGATCTTATCTCATGAACCTAATGCTTAATCTTTGTTAGTTTATCGATTTGTTATCGAGGGTTATTAGTCTTTGTCTTTGATGTAATTTCTATGTTTTAATCATCTAGTTTCCCGGAGATCGGGCTTCTGCCTCTCGGAAATCGGGTTTGTGATTCCCGAAAATCGGGCTTGTGATTTCGGGAAAATCGGCTCTTGTAAACATTCTGTGTTCTTAACGAAAATCTTTAGATGAAAAAAAAAAATGTTCATGTGAATTTTGGGCAAAGATCTATCCGATTAAAACCAAAAAAAATGAAGATCAAAAGAAAAGAGTGACCCCATGGGAGACAGAGATGCACACTAATACTATTGGTACACAGGTGTCCTTCGCCACGAGCTAGTAATTTCACAATCCACAAGTATATGCCCTACAAATATATAAATATAGACCTACATTTTCATCCTATCTCTATACGACAAATTCCAAAATTTGATACGAGACCATCTACAAAATTTATTGTTTAGCATTGAAAGCTGTATAAGAAAAATTAAAAAATGTACAAATGTGTAATCAGGAGAAGGAACTAAAACTTGACACGTAGCAATTTAATTAAATCCAAAAACTATCGAACATTACCTTTTCGTCGTCCTTTCACTTCATCTTCCCCTCTTAAATTTATGAAGGTTTCAGATCCAAATCCAATCAACAATTTTCCCGTCTTATCATAATCTCAATCAATAAGCCATTTGCCTTTAAAAATTGTTCGTTGTTAAACGCATGGTATTCAGTTGTAAGAGACCATTCCCATACGAGAAGAAGCTAGAATGCATAATACAAATAAATGTGGACCTAATAGCTCTGTAAGGAACAAAGAGGAGTACCTCATGGTGCCACTAGTGGTTTCAAAATCGCTCTCCATATATGTGGTGTGTTTTTCTATTCCTAATGCTTTTTTGGATTTGGGATTCAAAGTTTAGTAATTATAGATCCGTTTTTCGGATAACTTCTTCTGTTATGTGATGTCTTCGTTTCCTTTTTGTTCAAAATATTTATAGTGTACTATTGGTTTTACTTTTATGCGAACTTTAGAGTGTATTCTTGGTTTTTCATGGCACAATTCATCTGTTTCATGCTTGTAAATTTTGGATAGCCAAAGTTTGTTCAAACGCCAAACAAAATTTCAAATATAACTAGAGCTGGATTTAGACGAAGGTACAGATCCAATTTTTTTTTTGGTATGCTCACGATCTTGATCTCTTAAAAGAATGAATTAAAATTTTCTTCCACCAGTCAGTTTATTGGTGCTGCAACTGCGTTTTGCCCACGAGATTATATATATTTGGCGTTTTTCAAGTTTCTTGGGATGAGTCTCCATGTTTTGCTACGACCGACAAACTGTCAAGATGAACAAGAAATCGAGAACTATAAGTCATAGATGTTTTCAAATAGATGTTTTCAAATGAAATATCAATTTATTGTTGTGAAATTGAGAATTTTTTGTTACAATATAAGTTAAAGATAGAGAAAAAGAAGATGGATAAGTTGTTGATGAAGAACCATACCCTCATAGAGAAGGAAGTGCTAGAAATGAGAGACGCTACGTCGAAGAGGCTTAAGGTTTAAAGAAAGTGCACAAGATGAAAAATGGTTTGATCTCTAGATCAAGTTTAATTAGGCTTTCCATTGGGATGATTAGATTGAAATTTGGTTATACGTTGATTTGGTAAGCGTGCTCTCACTTTACATTGAAATTTGAATGTTTAATTTTTATACCTTCCAAGAAATATAAATATTTTAGCTCTCATATTTCTTCTCTCAATTGCTAGCTTGTTGTGAATAAAAGCCCACTCAATCCTAGCTCGGGAAGAAATCCAACATATTCTGACTTTTCTCTTCGAGCACCCCTAATGGGGGTATCTACCATATTATCTACACAATAAAAAAGAAAAAATATTATAAAGGTATGAGAGAGAGAG